TCCTTTCTCAATTAGTGTTTACATAATCCCCACGCAGATAAAGTCACAGTATAGTGGAGTCAACCAATATCAGGCTTATAAACTGGTGTGTCCAAGTGTGGCAATGCTACTGCTGCTTTAAAGGATGAGCTGAACTCAGTGTTTTATGAGTGTAAATTCTGGGGCAACAGGTTTTTGGTAACCTCATAAGCCTCCTAAATTCAAAGAGCAAAGCTTTCCCTTGCCAGTGTGGCTCAGTTGATTGGAATGTCATTCTATAAACCAAAATGCTATGGGTTCAATTCCCAGTTAGGGCACCTGCCTAGGTTGTGGGTTTGGCCCCTAGTCAGGGTGTGTGCAGGAAGCAGCCAATTGATGTTTCTCTCTCACATCAATTTCTCTCTCTCTCAAAGCAATTTAAAAAAATGCCCTCGGGTGATGATTAAAAACCAGAGTAAAAGTTATCTCTGGGTAGAAAGAAACCTACCACTGTGGCTTTGCTTTAGGTCTCTTGGTGTTCTTTTAACCTGTGTGTTCCCAACTTTGAATAGGTAAAGGACCTGTATACTCACATGGTTCAGTTCCTTTAGCACTAATAGATGCTGTCTTTTTTGCAACCATTTAGTGCATTCATTCATTCATCATTTTATATAGTATTTTAATTCTTACTTTTATTTTGAAATAATTTCAGTCTCATGAAAAAGTTGCAAAGATAGTACAAAGAATTAATTCCCATGCACCCTTGACCCAGATTTCTTCTAGGTTAACATACCACATTTGCTTCATCAAAGTCTGTGTGTGCATGTGTATACACAAACATTATTATTTTTCTGAAACACTTGAGAGTAGCAGTATTTACCCCCAAATGTTTTGTGTTTCTCATACAAACAACCACACTCGTTCACATAACACAGTAAAGTTATAAACACCAGCAAATTACTGCGGTCATGTGTTGCTTAACAACGGGGATGTGTTCCAAGAAATGTGTCACTAGGCGATTATGTCATCATGGGAATGTCACAGGGTGCACTCGCACAAAGCTAGATGGCATGGCCTGCTACACACCTAGGCTACAACCCTGCACAGCATGTTACTGTCCTGAATACTGTACATCATTATAGCACGATGGTATTTGCATATCTGAACATCTAAACATAGAAGAGGCACAGCATAAATATAAAAGATAAAAAATGGTCCACCTGTGTAGGGTGCTTACCAGGAACGGGGCTTGCAGAACTGGAAGTTGATCTGGGTGAGTGAGTGAGTGAGTGAGTGGTGAGAGAACGGGAAGACATAGGACACCACTGCTGGTGTTATGATCACCTTCCCACAACCCCTCCTTCTGGCAATATCAGAAAGAGAACACGAGCTGTCGGTGCTGCTCCATGAACAGGGATGTGGGTGGGACTGACCGGGACTATCGAGGGGGAACTGGCTGGAGAAGGCACAAATCATCGTGACAGTGACTGTTGGAGGGCGGGAGTGAAAGGTGGCCTCAGGGTCGGTAGGAATAGGAAATACAGATGGAGAATGAAGGATCATGGGACTGTATGGCATGTGGTTTGGCTATTGCATGTTGGAGCAGTGGTCAGATGAAGGAACTAGGTGCTATTCATACACATAGAGGGTGCTTAACATGAAGGGGTCCAGAACTGAGAACTCAATAAACTGACTTTGGAAACTTGTTTTTGGTTCCATTGATCCCATCTGGCACAAGGTGTTCTCTCTGGCATGGAACTGATGGAGAAAATAAAAGTTATCTATGCTTCGCACCATTATAATCCAAAAATATTTCCAAAGCACAGGGACAGGCTGGCTCCACACTGACCACGGGAAGCTTTTACTACGGCGGCAGTGACCCTTACTTCTTGTTAAGGCAGCTCCTGTGGACTCGCGTCCTTGTACAGAACTGTAGGTCCTTACCAGAGAATGTCCAGCAGTGTGCCCTGCAGACCATCAGGCCAGACCTGGGAGGGCAGCAGAGCCCTCTTTGTAGTGCGTGGGGGACAGGCTCCTCTGTGCTGAAACAGGCCAGGGACCGACTGCTGGGGAGCAAATCTGTGCTCTCAAAAATAAGTGTGTGAGTGAGAGGGAATCTGTTCCCAAGCCCCACAGATATTGCTCCCAACAGAACGATGACAAAAAAAATCCTCCTGAACCACATATCCTTCCATTTCTTATGGGAAATTCAGCTCCATCGGTATCTTATGTGACCACAAGCATATACTTGGTCTGTGGTTGACTGAAACATCTTTAGTGGCACCTGACTGTGTTGATATACTACTATTTAATCTACAGACCTTACTCATTTTGTCAAGTGTTCTGTTCATTCTTTTTAATTAAAAAAATTTAAAAAATTTTAGTAAAGAATTAAATACAGGAAAAAACAAACCCTCACCCCCTTTCAAGTACCTCCAGTTCTATGAGTTCCAGCAAATGCACAGGAGGCCTCTGCTGGCCCGGGCCGAGGGCAGGTTCCTGACCCTCCCCAAGGAGGAAGTTGTCTCTGAAAGTCTGGGCCCAGGATGTACTTCTGCAGGTTTTATTCTATTTCCTTCTCCTGGCCACCGTGGGTTGTCATCTGTGCCCTTGAAGTGACAGTGTTTGTTGCTACTACCCCAGCAGCTGAAGATTTCTGTCCCAGAGAGGGCTTTGTGCTTTTCCCCAGAGGACAGCTGCCCTCCCTGAGGCCTGGTCCGCCACGGAGCTTCAGGACTTGCCCTGTCTCCAGCCCCTCTCGTGAGCTCTGGGGGGGTCCCCGGGGAAAAACCTGTGAGTGGGTATGAATTTCTCTGGTACCTGAGGCTCCCAGGAGTTCTGGCCTCTCACACTCGCCACACCCGGCCTTTAGCGATTTGTTAAAAATGCTAGCTGAAGTCTTCCCACCAGCCGGCATGACACCTGGCGTTTCCGGCAGGTAGGTGAGTGCAGGGCCCTGTCTCTCCTTGGGGGAGCCTGTGTTTCCTTCGATTCTGAGTTGGTTCCTCGCCTTGCAGCCACAATCACTGCTCTTCCATGGATTCAAGGAACGGTGTGACTTCATTAGGGAGCGTTTTTTGGTTGCTGTTTCAAGAATAGAAGCAGCCTTTTTCTGGCTTTCTACACCCTAAGTAGAAGACTGACATCTATTTTATATTTTTGATCACTTGTGAATTTTACCTTACTGATAGAACATTTGCAAAAAAAAACAAAAACAAAAACCCCAAAACCCAAAACCAGTTGTTTCCTGAGATATCAGTAGTGAAAAAAGATCTATCAAAATATTCAGGTACTTGTACATCCTCCTTAGAAAGTTATCTCCCAGAAAACGAGCAATCATATGAAAAGCTAAAAAGATCACATCTTCAACAGGACAGATCCAAGAGTAAGATACAGTGGTTAAGAAGCCAGGTTTGACATTACCATTTAATTATACCTTCTGAGAGACAAGTTCTTTCCTGCAGTTGCTTCTGACCCACACTGAAATCACACTATATCATTTTCCTGACATGTGTAAAGAAAAAGAGTGGGAGAAGGAGAAGGGGGCAGAAGGTACAGAAAATAAGTAGCATAGACGGTAGGTAGAAAATAGATAGGGGGAGGGCAAGAATAGTATGGGAAATATAGAATCTAAAGAACTTGAGACACGTGGTCATAAACTAAAGGGGGGAATGGTGGGGGTGGGGGTGTGCAGGGTGGAGGGGAATGAAGGGGAGGAAATAGAACCATAATGGCATAATCAATAAAATATATTTTTAAAAAAGAAAAAGAATCTGATTGGATAGCACGCACCTCTGCCAAGCTAAGGCATGGACTCACTTGCTAAAGGCTTTTAGCCAGATTGTCGGCTCTGAAAATTATGGAAAAAGCCTTAACTATTTTGAAGGGAAACTGGTGATTAAACAGGGTGGGGGCAGGGGAATCTTTATTACAGGGAAACCCAGCTGCCTGGAATAGCTACAATGTTAACGATTTTATATTAAAATGTCTATATTGTGAAGTAATGAAAAATAAACCCCTCAGCATGGAGCTGATCCTGACCCCATAACCGGCTACTCTGGGGTTTTCTGCTCAGGGTGCATCAGTGGAGCCACAGCGGCTGTTAACTTTGTTAGGAAGTTGAGTCATTTCTTAAAAACAGCTAATTAGTAGTGAACATTGATTGAGCATTTTCTGTATCAGCTGCTGTAGGAATCTGAAAGTTTGTAAGAGGAATAATTATTCTGAATAACTGTCAGAAAGGTATTGAGTCCTTTCTGGACCCACTTTCTCTAAACGTATAATTCCCAGTGATAATTCACCATGACAGCACAATCCCGGCTCCTTTGTCACACCATTCTGTCCTTTGGGGTTGGGACCAAGCCAACCATAGATTTCCTTTTCGGGTTCTCTCATAACCGTAGTCTCCCTCACACCTGCCCGGGAACCCTGCTGACCCCCGCACCAGTGGCCTCATGCCCCTCATTGGCAGTCCCCAGCTACTCTTCACCAGGGACACAGTTGAATGAAGAAGTCTTCAGCCACCTACACACACACGCACGGAAAAATCCTGAGAAAATGAATTTATGTCAGAGTATCGTTACTGATACATCTTTCTTAAGAGGATATTTTCCTATACTTTTTATTTTTAAATTTTCTCTCATTAGAAGAAAGAATGGGAGACTCTCAGGTGGGTATCTTTTCACTGTTGTTGACTGCACTCTGTGCGCGGGCCACCTAGTCTGTACATAGACAGGTGCTTCTACCCTTTCAGCTCAAATGAGGCTGTAGACTGACTGTTGGTAGAGCATGTTCCCCAGTATGTGTGATGAGGCTGGGCTGTGTTACCCACACATTCCTGCCCATTCCTTTTTATTAGACCAGTGTTAGCAGTGCTATCTTTGGAAGGGGGACAGGTATTTCTCCCATCTGACATACGTATTTTCAGATTTAGATAATGCTGTAATGCAGTATTGAAATTGCAAGTATATATCTGACCCAAAGAATATTCTGAGTTTTCTCAGAAGATTAACAGGAACATCCTTTTTTCACATCGCGTGTAGGGAGAGCAAGGACCTCAAGGCCTTCCGGGGCCAAAGGGCACGACCGGCCATGGCTTCCCTGGCCAGAAGGTAAGTATTTCAGGACCTTGAAAACATTCATAGGCTTAGAATCTCAATTGCTTGACTTGAACTTTGGAAGGGCTCTCATATACTTGTTACTCTTCTTTTTACAAAACTCTCAGAGGAAAAAATTCATTTGAAAGTGAATCCTTATGCATTTTCTTTCCTATCTACGAACATGCTTACTTAAAAAAAAAACCCCATTTCCTTCATTCTTGAAAACCAGCTGACAAAGGACTAAATCCTTGCAACATAGCATGTAGAAGATACCAGATAACTCAGTTATAAAATATATAATGGTTGAACTTCCTGAAGGCAGTGAGATGACCCAATGGTATCTTAAGGTCTCTTCACTCTGAGATCTCCAGTTCATGATGAGTTAGATTATGGTACCTGGAAGGGGAAGGTGTGAGTAAAATGTCCACATTTTTTTTCTATCACACATTCCTATCAACAAGTACTACAGCTCTTCAAGAGATACCAGTTATAAATAAACAAAATGTCAGAGTTGTTCTTATTTGGCTTTGCCTTCCACATTCTAAACTTCCCTTTCACTGTATTCTAAAGGGGGAGCATGGAGACCGGGGTGATCCAGGGATAAAAGGCAACAAAGGGGAAATTGGAGAGCCCGGATCACCAGGAAAACAGGCAAGGAGTGACTTTTAAAGCCTTACTGTGATTTTATACATTAACCGATTGCAACCTATACTGACTGTTACTCTTCTTCTGCTAAGCAGGGGTTACAGGGACCAAAAGGAGACAAAGGACTTACAGTGAGTATCACTCTTAGAGGCTAACTGAGGGCACTTGCAAAACTATTACACTCAGACTTTAGCTTTAGAAGTATGAATTTTTTTGATGCAGTGTTCCAGTTGCTGTTTAAAGGACAGCACTGCAAACAACTCCAGTGTTGACTTGGAGGCACGAGGTAACTGAATCTGAACGTGAGGGAGAAATGCCACCCAGTGACCCTTATCTGGCCTCATGGTGGGGACTGGTGACTATTCCCCTCTGATTCCTGGTAGGAATGGTAACAAGGTACACTGTTTACAAGAAGCCAAATGACCAAATGACTTTGTATTTTACATGACCCTTCACATTTCAGAGCAGGGGCTGTTCTTTCTCAACTAGTTTCTTTAGGAAGTGCCCTGAAAAGACAGCAACCCCAGTATTTTTATGTACTGATCCGTGAAGACAAGTAACTGGGAAGCGTCTATGGACTGCTCCCTATACCACTGCAGACAAAAAGCCCACTCTTTGGAGTCTTACAGGGTGGAAGTGTTCCAGAATGTTTATAGCAAAGTCTAATTCTTCCTTTCTGACTTGAAGGCACTCTATCTTCTGAAATGGAGAAGAAATACAGACCTTCTCTTTTATTCCCTTTCTGATTTGGGGGATTCATGCTCTGGGTCTGGGGATACTGTATGGTACTGGGCTGGGAAGTCCAGGTGTGAGGGGGGTGGGAGTTCTGGTAGTAAAGGTGAGCCAGGCATTTGACAAACAGGGCTGCATGCTTGTTTGTTTGCTTTTTTATGGCCCAGCTACCTTTATTTCTTTGTTCTTCCCCACCGCAAGTCAACCCCTCGTCTGCACCCAAGATATCTGAAGCAGCTGCACATGCAGCAATTCTGCCCCAAAAGTAGCAGGAGAAAATGTGCACAACACACCCAGACAAATGCACCCCATAGATTTATACCCTCTTTCCCATTCCACCCTGGGGAGGGGATGGTTTCCTTCATCCATTCATTTGTTCATTCACTTCGCCCACGTGTATTGGGCATGTACTCCAGGGCAAGCTCTGAGAGGATCACTGGGAGAATAACAAAGAATAAGAGACTGTTTCTGCACCCAGGGAGCTCCCAGCCCAGTGGAGAGAAAGACAAGCAAAGGATGTTCACTTACAGCTTGATGAATGCTGTGATAGAAGAAGATACGTGGGTCCAGAGCAGGCAAAATGATGTATGATGATGTTTGGGGGCAAGATAGGCTTTTATCTCTTTAACAGGAGTTTTTTAGCCAAGAGGCAAAGATCTTAGAAATGGGGATCTGATTCTTCTGACTTTGGCTTTCCAGATTCTAGAAAAGGGGATGAGCAGGAAGGGAAGGGTGAAGGAAAAGAGAATTTGTATTCAGTGAGAATCCAGGGTAAATATATAAATATATACATTTTCCCTTTCTATATCCATTCTAGTTTCAGATATCTTAAATGCCTCAGTAAATGTGAAAAAGCATGCCAAGACCTGAAAAAAAAGGATAACTATTCACACTCTTTTATATAATTTTTAATATCATACTGGAATTTCTTTTAAATAGCCACTTGCAATCATTGGCTTCTACTTAATTTATGGTAAAAAAATTAAATTAAAATGCCCTGAACATTCCCATACATGCTCTATTAAGCCTTGACACCAGCAATGTCACTTCACCCCAATTCTGTCATTATAGATTTTTTTCTCTAAAACTTTACTTTTGCAACTGTTAAGTTTTACCTTCTTAGATGAGGTCCACTGCTCCTTCCTGTCGAGATTTTCTGGGCTCCTGTTCCTTTCATCTATTAGTTAACTATCCCTGTCTGCTTCCTGTCTCTGGCGAATGCAGAGCCCTGCCCCCTCTAGTCTCAGGACAGTTATTTGTAAGTCTGCTACTCAGGGCAGGGCATTGGCAGATGCACTTCTCGTACCCAGCTCCTGGGGGGCCCTTCTGCGGGGCCCACTGGGCATCAGGACCAAGAAGGAGCATTTGAACACTGGGACCGTTCACGAAAGAGCCGAAGAGAGAGGATTAGGAAGCTGGAGAGGGGACTTGCAAAATTGGGGAGTGGTACAGAAAAAGCAGGGGGGTACAGCAAAGAATACATTCTCTTTGGCCATGTTGCTTATTCTAGTTGCTCAATACATGTGGGTTAAATCAGGGAACCGAATGCATGTGCTGCTCACACCACTGTAGGGAGCGTCAGTGGTTCCCCCTCAGCCACAAGGAATATATGGCAACGCCCCCAGTAGATGCCTGAAACCACACAGTGCCCTATATACACTATGTTCTTCCTGTACATGCACACCTATGATGCAGTCTAACTTATAAATCAGGCATAGGAAGAGATCGACAAGAAAACTGATAATAAAATATAGTAATTACAATATACTATAATCAAAGGTATGTGAATGTGGTCTCTCTCAAAGTATCTTATTTCACGGATGGAAGATTCGCTCTTATCATAGATCTTAGCAACTTCAGCATGGGATTTTTCTTTCCTTATTAAGTCAAGAATTTTTACCTTTTCACTTAAATGAAGCACCTTATAGCTTCTCCTTGGCATATCCAATTTCCAGCATCACTACTCTTGTGCTTTGGGGCTATGAGTAAGTGAAATAAGGGTTCCCTGAACACAAACACTGCCATATCGTGGCAGTCGATCTGATAGCCCAGTTAGCTACTAAGTGACTGGGGGTAGGGGGGTAGGAAGGGGTTAGGGGAGTATATATAACGTGGATACGCAGGACAGAGGGATGATTCCTGTCCTGGGCAGGATGTGGTGGGACAGCATGAGATTCCATCTTGCTACTCAGGACAGCACACAATTTAAAACTTATGACTCATTTATTTCTAAAATTTTCTATTTAATATTTTCAAACTGCAGTTGACCACAGGTAACTAAAACCATGGAAGGTAACACTGTGGGGGGTGTTTACTTTGTGGGGCCAGACCTTATGTGAAGAGCTCTGTTTGTGTTACCTTGTTTAACCATCCGTCCCCAGCCCAAAGACACAGATACACTAGGTCACCTCATGTCCAAGGTCATACAGCTGATAGAAGCTGGAGCCACAGTTAAACTCAAAAAGTCTGAGCTATTACATTTCACCACTCAAACACATTTCAGTTATGACATATGATAGCCACCTTTTAACCTCTGTGCTATTTACTTTCTTTTCTGCTCTGGAAGGATGAAATGAAATGACCCATGCTGACTGTAATAAGACATATCTTTTATGATGATAGGAAAAATATTATGGCCATATGGTTAATACATATTCCTTTCTTTTCTCCAGAAAGAAGAAATTATCAAACTTATTTTTGAAATATGCGGTAAGATTTGACTATTGAGGGGAACAAAACAATCCTTTAAAGTGCCAACCCCACTATGTTCTGTGTTGGTCAAGATAATGTGCTCCCCCAGAAAATGTATACCGTGCAGCTCATGAGAAAGTTTAAAGCTCATCTGAAGTCAGTGGGAAACTGAAAGGAGGCAGTGAGAGAGGCTGTGGGAATCCGGATTTAGGAAAATAAAGTCATCTTCCCAGCTGGTTGAGAAGCACGAAGATGCCTGCCTCGCGTCTGTGGGCAGCCAGGCCTTTGTACGCACAGTGCTTACTTATATTCAGTGACCTTTACCTGAGCCTGGGAAGAAAAAACAACAACAAAGGAAACAGAACCATAGGGGCCCAGCTGGTATTTGAGTCCAGCCTGGCTGGTGACTGTGGTGTCTGTGTTTTTCCTGAAGCCAGAAGTCTTTCTGTATTTTGTTTTCAGCACTGTTTCTGAAGTGCGCTGCCCCTGAAAGGCAGGGAACAGAGTCAGGGGGTCCTCTTGCTTCACATCTATATCTAAATGCTTCTACACATTTGGCTAAAGACCTTAGACTTAAAAATAAAGTTACCGGAAAGCAGAAGTAAAGAAAAGAGATTAGCCCAAAAGCAGGAGATGAAATGGAGTAAGAAAGAGAGGAATCCTCTGGGTTCGAAGAGGACAGAGGCAGGAATATCATTGTTCTTCCATAGAGAACCCCAGAACTGGTTCGTCATCTGGAAGCCTTCTGGACCATGCTGGGACTCTGTGTGATGTGACCAATTGAGGCCAATTGAGATGTGACTTCTGGGTTCTAGAAGCTCTATAAAATCAGCACCAAGTTTCCTCATGACTTTTTGTGGTAGGGTTGTTGGGTGATAGGAGTGTGGATAAACCATTTGAGTCCCTGAGAATTCTTAACTCCTGGGGACTCTAGCAACTGCTCTGAATGGTAAATCCTAAAAAGAGGTTGTTTATTGGCCAGCACTCTCAATGCCCTCAAAAGGTTACACAGTACAGATGGAAAGCTGGCCTTGGTGGGATGGGAGCCACCTTAGTTGACATTGTGGGTGACTGGGGGCATAAACTAGAGTAGCTATTCTTTATTCTTGTACAGTTAGAAGCTCTAATCCTTCCCTCACAATTAAAATTTTTCATCCCATTACTTTACCCAGTGCCCATGCCAATGAACCAATCTCTATTCTCATATGGGGATGTGGTTGAAGACTGAAATATAAGATTTCAGATTCAGATTAAATGAAAATGGTGGAATGACAATTTTAGGCTAGTGGTTATCTCTTGGGAGAGGGAGGGGAATGTAATCAGAAGACAGACAGACTCCATGGATGCTGACTCTAAAAAAGTTTAAATTTTTAATCTGAGAGATTGGCACCTAGTGCTTATTATTTTGTCATCTATAGTTTTTTTTTTCCATAGAAATTATTTTTTAAAAACAGTCAGGTGTAGAAACCAGAAAGGACGTGGTTGTCAGCTATGTTCACAGTCACAGCAAAGGAAGGTAAAAGTCCAAGTCTCAGGTTCATCTGTGCCCATCTCTCATCACCTCCCCACCCACACACACATAACCATCTGCTATCAGTGAGTGGTGTTTTGCATTCCATTCTGCAATGTTTCTGTCTTGACATTCACCTTTTAGGTTGCGGGCCAAAATGTGAAGAGCGTCCGTTGGAGCTGCTGTTTGTGATTGACAGCTCAGAAAGTGTGGGGACAGCAAACTTCCTGATCATCAAAAATTTTGTGAAAACCCTGATTGACCGGGCTGCTCTGGACCTTGCCATAGTCCGCATAGGCATAATCAACTACAGCCACAAGGTGGAGAGGGTGGCCCAGCTGACGCACTTCTCCAGCAAGGACGACTTCAAGCTGGTGGTGGACAACATGCAGTACCTGGGGGAAGGTACCTACACGGCCACAGCCCTCCATGAAGCCAACCTCATGTTTCAAGCCGCAAGGCCGGGTGTCAAGAAAGTGGCCTTGGTCATCACAGATGGGCAGGCAGATAGCCGAGATCAAAAGAATCTGACAGAGGTGGTGAAGGACGCCAGGGACGCCGCTGTGGAAATATTTGTGATTGGGGTGGTGAAGAAAAATGACCCCAACTTCGATATGTTCTACCAAGAAATGAATCTAATTGCTAACGATAGTGGGCACGTTTATCAGTTTGATGACTTCAGTGCCCTTCAAGGTAAGGCTCAGCTCCAGGGCAAAGACACTTACATTGTTCTTCCAGGTACCATGTCACTGATCACCCTGAGCAATAATGGAAGCGGGGGCTAATGAGGCTTAGGCAAACATTAAATTGTAACATAAACTTCAGAAGGTAGAAGAAGCATTTAGTATTACCCTGTTTAGAGAGCATAATCCCTTGTCTTTATTCATTTTTTTAAATATATTTTATTGATTATGCCATTATAGTTGTTCTATTTCCCCCTTCAATCCCCTCCCCCTGCACACCCCTCCGCTACCATCCCCCCCAGCTTATGACCATGTGTCTCAAGTTCTTTAGAGTCTATATTTCCCATACTATTTTTCCCTCCCCCCTATCTATTTTCTACCTACTGTCTATGCTACTTATTCTCTGTACCTTCTCCCCCCCTTCTCCTCTTCCTACTCCCCTGTTGCTAACCCTCCATGTGATCTTCATTTCTATGGTTCTGCTCCTGATCTAGCTGTCCTCTTAGTTTGTTTTTTTGTTTTAGGTGTGGTTCTTAATAACTGTGAGTTTGCTGTCCTTTCATTGTTCATCTTTTTTATCTTCTTTTTCTTAGGTAAGTCCCTTTAACATTTCATATAATAAGGGTTTGGTGATGATGAACTCCTTGAATTTGATCTTATCTGAGAAGCACTTTATCTGTCCTTTCATGCTATATGAAATCTTTGCTGGATAGATCAATCTTGGATGTAGATCTTTGGATTTGATGACTTGGAATACTTCTCTCCAGCCCCTTCTTGCCTGCAAGGTCTCTTTTGAGAAATCCGCTGACAGTCTGATGGGAACTCCTTTGTAGGTGACTGTCCCCTTATCTCTTGCTACTTCTAGACTTCTCTCTTTCATTTTAATCTTGGCTAATGTAATGATGATGTGCCTTAGTGTGTTCCTTCTTGGGTACACCTTCTTTGGGACTCTTTGAGCTTCCTGGATTTCCTGGAAGTCTATTTCCTTTGCCAGATTGGGGAAATTCTCCTTTATTATTTGTTCAAATAAGTTTTCCACTGGTGGCTGTTCCTCTTCCCCTTCTGGTACCCCTATAATTCAGATGTTGGAATGTTTAAAGATGTCCTAGATGTTCCTAAGCCTCTCCTCATTTTTTTGAATTCCTGTTTTTTCATTCTTTTCTGTTTGGTCATTTTTTTCCTCTTTCTGGTCCACTCCTTTGATTTGAGTCCCAGTTTCCTTTCCATTGTTATTGGTTTCCTGTACATTTCCATTCATTTCAATTAGTTTAGCCTTCATATGTTCCTCTAATTTGTGACTATGATCAACCAGTTCTGTGAGCATTCTGATCACCAGTGTTTTGAACTGTGCATCTGAAAGTTTGGCTATTTCTTGGTCGCTTAGATTTATAGGCTCTGGGGTTCTGAGTTGTTCTTGAGCCATGTTTTGATCTGTGTGTGCCTGTTACGTATGAGGAGGTGTTCACCAGGGTGGGACCACCCAGGTTGCTGGTTTGTGACACTGTATGTGGGGGCGGGGTCAGAGAGGGACAATGGCGGTCCCCTCTGCCACTTTCCACCACCACTGGGGCCTGCACGATCTGTCTCATCACTTCGCTCCTTCACCGGTTTGTCTGCACTCGAATGTGTGACTGTGGTCAGTCCTAAGTGAGTCCACCGCCTTGTGCCCTCAGTGGGACCGCCCACTGTTCCACACCTGGAACCTACCTACGGCTGCTGGCAGGGCTGGGTTGTGAGCCAGCCCCGGTCAGTCTGGTGGATCTTTCCTGCCTGACCCTGCTCTGCTGCTGGCTCTACCCCTCTTACCAGTTTGGCTGAAGGGTTCATTGTTGTCAGACTTCAGTGAAGTTCAATTTTCTGTGGTTTTGGCTGCATTTTTGTTGCTAAAACTTTGTTATTTTTAAACTTGGTTGTGGGAGGAGGTACAGTGCTTCCACCTACGCCTCCATCTTGGTGGAAGTCCCCTTGTCTTTATTCATTAGGAACAAGTGCTGAGTTGGTCTTGGAGTTCACTGATGTATTTATGGTCAAGGAACATGGATGGATAGAACTTGGGGGTATTGCTAAGATTAATATTCAAAAAGTTACCTGACCTGCAGAAGAGATGGAGCAAGCCAGCAGCAAGGCAGAAAGTAACTGTAGAATCAATGAATTAGGAAGTGCATGATGAAGAAAAGTTATAGTAATCTAAAGGGATGAGAGACATAGTAACTAGGATTCTTCTATTGCATTATCTGTTCTTATAAATATTTTCAACATTCTCTGTTTTTTATAAGACCACCAAATTATATACACTAGAACAGATTACCTATACTATTTCAATCACCCACTCACCATTCTATGTAGACTCTGATAACAGGTCAAAACTTTCTCATCTGTGTACCCACTGCCCATTTTTGTTCCCTCTCAGGTTTCTTCAAATAGAACATTCTCTGTTTTTATGGAAACAGATAATTTAAATATGTGGATATCAGGAGTTTATCTTGCAGTGAACATTTTGAGTATTCATCCTACAGTCAATGCCTAGGTGATGGGTTTCCACACCTTACTTCACCCTCTCACAGGAACGAATGGTTCCTAAAAGGCATTCTCAGACACTCTCCCATCTAAGACTGAAGTGTGGTCATTATTGCTTTACAATGATACATGTTCCAGCTCTTTGGAAACTGACCATTCATTCTGGCAGGGCCCACACCTGGCAAGCTTGTGAAGGAGGTAAAGTTGGTGCTCCATGTGTTTCTAGGCTTTGGTTTGGCACCACCCTTTCTACTCCATCCCCTGGGAGAGAGGCCTGACTGAGCCTGGCACTGACCCTCCTTGTGCCATGCTGTTCGCAGCCTGCTCTGGGTCCCCGCACGGCTGGCCCTAACCATAGCATACCATATGCAGAACATTCCCACTGTCTAGTCACTCTTTTCTTGAGACCCTTCTAACCTGGGGTCCCATTTCCTTAATAGTCGGCTGGGTGGATAATCAGTTTGTCTGATACATTCAATCTCACTGGGCTGCTAACATGTTAGAATGACCAGAAGTATTGTGCATTTCAGAGACAAGTTGCTTGAAGAGTTTTATCATCTAAACTAAAGCAGTTAGTTATTTGTTCCAGCCTGAGAGGGCTATTGTTTTGGGGCTGGCTGGCCTTTTGCTGTCCCTAAAACTGCATGTTAAACTTATTAAGGGAGAGACTTGCCCCTTCCACAAAGTAGCTCACAGTTAACCAATGCTTTACATGAGCAAGCACTTAAGTCATTCTTTTGCTTATTTGGGCCTTCATATATTATTACATTTAATTAAATTAGTTAAATGGCCTCCTACTGATGATGTAAAAATGCTTTAAAACTTCTTTCCCCTCACAGTTGACTTCAAGTAATGGGAAAGTCTGTTTACTAAAAGGAGAATGGAGAGCTCTTTAAACAGGTCTTAAGTAATGTTTCCTTTTCCTACCTCCCTTTTCTACTTCTCTCTTAAAAGACACACTGAAGAAAAGACTGTTTGAAAAACTCTGTAGGAATTTTGATGACTACCTCAATGAAGTTTTGGGTTCGTCACTACTTCAGCCTGGACTTGGCGTGTCAGGGGAAGAGCTCAGTGTTTCCACGCCAGAGCCTCAGAAGAAAATTTCTGAGTCAGTAAGTGACCATCTTGCTGAATTTACAAGCTTAACATTGTGTTTTCTGTCTGCTTGACACCAAAGAACATCTCGCTTTGCATTGCCAAGAATCAGCTGAGGTATGTGTAGTTTCAGGTCCTTGGCTCTAAATATTAGCGCGTTTGTCTCCAGATTTCTAGTTCTGAAATAGCTCTGGGGCTGGTGAGAAGGATGATAAAGTTTAAAAATATTTCTATATTTTACCCTGGCTGGTGTAGCTCAGTGGATTGAGCATGGGCCTGTGAAGCAAAGGGTCACCAGCTCAATTCCCAGTCAGGGCAGATGCCTGGGTTGCAGGCCAGGTCCCCAGTGGGGGACACATGAGAAGCAACCACACACTGATGTTTCTCTCCCACTCTTTCTCCTTCTGTTCCCCTCTCTCTAAAAATAAATAAATAAAATATTAAAATTTTTTCTATATTTTATAAGTGATTATTTATTAATAATTGTTTTATTAGACCCCTGCCACCACTGAAGTAATTCTAGATACTAGAACAGATTAACCCTGTACTATTTGAATCACCCACTCACCATGCTATGTAGATTCTTTGATAATAGGCCACAACTCTTTCTCATCTGTGTACCCACTGCCCATTTTTAAAATTTATTTATTTATTTATTTATTTATTTATTTATTTATTTATTTATTTATTTATTTATTTTCAGAGAGGGGGAAGGGAGGGAGAAACAGAGGGAGAGAAAAATCAGTGTGTGGTTGCCTCTTGCATGCCCCCTACCAGGGACCTGGCCTGCAACCCAGGCATATGCCCCAACTGGGAGCTGAACTGGCAACCCTTTGGTTTGCAGGCCCCCACTCTATCCACTGAGCTATACCAGCCAGGGTGTCACTAACCATTTTTGTATCCTCCTAAGTTTCTTCAAAGTGCACAATGTTCAACCTGCCATTATGACTCAATCCAAGCCACACTCTTGCTCATTTAGCTTCTACTCCCTGTGCTCAGATGGAGACTGGGAGCGGGGCTAGGCATGCATTTGGTGCATGGTGGATGCTTTGTTTCAGATCAACAGAGAACTACCTCCTGAATGTACTGTGACAAATATCAATGTCTTCATAGCCAGCTTCTGGGCATCAAACTTAGCTAATCAGGTTACAAGTGATTATTAGGTTCTTTTAGGTCAAAATTGGAGAGCCTCCCATAATCACTGGCCAGTGGATGTTGTAGTCTCTTCTCCACCAAGTTACAACGAGGCAGGTCTAGACTAATCTTTACTAAACATGAGGACATCCTTTAGCAAGTGGGCACATATCTGCAAGCTCAATAAAGCCCCTGTCCTGTCCTCTTATGAAGTTTTCATGGACATGAAAGATTCATTATGAGCACATGCAACAGTATTCTAGCATCAGGATTCAGCTGCCTAGTTGGACTAAGGCCTTGAGGAATCTCCAGATCAGTAGGTAGATCTAGGACCATTCAGGCCTAGGAAGCCATTCCTAAAGAGACAGACTATAGGACTCACTAGATTTTTATACTCTTTTCCAGAATGGGAACAAAGGCCTCTAATATATTTCTATTTAGTTAAATATTAACCATCTCTGAGATGGGTAATTTCAGTTAGGGCAACAGACTGTCCCTGGACTATTGATTGAAATTAACACACACATTTATTCCATGTGGTTTATATCAGCCAGCAACCTCTTTCTGTAAAAGGCAACATGGAACATCTCTTTGGTTTTGCTGGCCGTTCCATCTCTGCTGCAATTATTCTGTCTGTGAAGAGCAACAGCACCACAGCCAGTACTTAATGAATGAATATGGCTGTGTGTGGATAAAATTATTTTCTAAACAGATAAAGACTAGAATTTGGCCCCCAGAGTTTGCTGACGCTGGTTTTTACTGAGCATTTTCAAATAAATTACAGACAATAATGTACACAGTCTGTCACTTTGTCCCTCTCCTAGTCGATTCGTGTCCCCTTCTAAAGGTTTCCCAAACAAGGGCAAACTAAGGTTTCATCCAGCAAGTGGTGCTGAAGCTGAGTTCACCTTGTAAGTCATGAATCCAGTATAATGTATTGACCATCCACTGTTGTAGTGGGTGGTGACTCCTTAAGAGATAGTTTCTGTCCAGGAGAAGTCCAGGGTCTATCGGGGAGTGGATAAGTATAAGAAGTGTTAATAACTTTAGTAGAGCTGTGGATAAAGCACAAGAGGTGGTACAGTTCATTTCAGGGCAAGGTGATGGAAGGCTTTATAGAGGTGGAGGCGGCCATGGGCAGAGTCTTAAGAATAAGCTGGGGTTTTTCAGGGTACTTACTGCAAAAGGAATGTGTAGGCAAAGGGGCATTCCAAAAGGCAGGACGTTTCAATAACTTAGTACAAGTTAAGTCTGACTAGATCCTAAAGTGTGTATGGCAGAATGGTGAGAATTAAATCTGGATAAATAACTTGAGCCATCAAGCTAAAGAGCTTGAACTGCATGCATAGGACAGGCAATCAGGAGAAAGCAGAAAGATTTTTAAATCAAGGGTCATATGGTCATATTGGGTTCATAGGAGGAATAACCCCAGTTTCAGTGTGAAAGCTAAATAGGAGGAGCAGGAGAGGAGACCAGAGACTGAGCTATGTGGAGTGATAGTCCAGGTGAGAGATGATGGGAGCATGAGAATAAAAGGAGGCATGGGCTGGAAAGCCATTTCTGGGGTCGAATGGACAATATTTGGTGATGCTGCGGATTGGAGGTTAGCGAGAGGGACAGGCTTGGGGATGACGGCTGGATTTCTAGCTTGGAGATGAGGGCGAATTTGAACACTGTCTACTGAGAGGGAGAAGATACGAGAACAGAATACAGTTTTTCTGACAGAAAATAATGAGCTTAGTTTGCACAACTCTACAGGTAAATTAGAGTTGCCTGAGGGAAATCCAAGGCAGCTGTGACACAGAATGAAAGACATTAAGACCCTATGCCTCCTATCATGACCCAAGAAGTCTGATGGCCCAGAGAGACCAGGGATGTTAATAGGTTATAACAGGAATGTTAATAGCTGATTCACTCTAGTAGCTGGGAAGGGAAGGGCATTAGAAGAATACATCCAAAATAGTTTGGATTTATGTCAGAGCCACATAGAAGAAAACTCAGCATCAGCTAGGTCTCTCTAGGGTGCCTGTTACTGAGGTGATGACAGTTCACAGTGAACTTGAGCTTCTCGGATTGCCCCTCTTTTCTCTAGACTGTCTCACCCTGACTCTCTTTGCAGAAGCATCACGACAAAACTGAACAATGAACGTTCCTAACAGACATTTGGTCTAACACACATATATGCATTTATTTCTGTCATTTGTGCATAGAAGACATATACATGCACACATGAATACCAAAACATATTTATAATATCTCTGCATGCACACCCACCTTTATCTTAAAGTATAATTATTATATCCAAACATCTAAAGTAAAATGAATCTGTCAAAACCTTTTGACAATTCTCAGACTGTTCCCAAGCCTACCCTAGGAAATACTGCAAAACAAATAATCTCAGAAGTCCCTTCTTGTGCCTCTATTTTCTTTCTCTGTTTTCCCTTCTACCTACTCCTTAAGATACTTATATCTATCCTTCTTTCCTCTTCTTTCTATCAACTCTCTTCTTAGGGAAAAGTTTGCTATTGGTTATTTACACTTCTGTGTGATATCTAAGTCAATAGGCTTCCACCTCCAAGAAGGACTTACACATAAAGCATTTTATATCATTGTGGAATAAGCTTGACAGACACTAAACGTCTGGAACAGTGTGTTGGGAAATAAAGAAAATTGAAGGATTTCCTAGGTTCTATTAAGTCCATAGCACTTCAGCAGTGCCCTTCCCTGTTGCTCTTTCCGGTCAGTTCTGGAGAGTGAAACCTGTACATCTATTTTACCATCTCTCTCCTGAAATGTCAGATCATTTATGCTATTCTGGAATTTGTCACATTTTACACTGTAAATAATTATTTATGTATTCACCTTAATTTTTCTAATGGACTTAAATTCCTTGAGGACATGATCTGTGTCTCATTAGACTTTGTATCCCATTCACAACCTAAAATTGTGCCTCAGTAAATACTTACTGACCAAATGAATGCTCTACCAACGGTTGGACTAAAAAATCTAAATATTTTCTTCAGTGAAAGGCATAAATTATATTATACATTTATTTTTTTAAGTATTTTATTTATTTATTTTTAGAGAGAAGGGAAGGGAAGGAGAGAGAGTGGGAGAGAAACATCAATGTGTGGTTGCCTCTCATGTGTCCCTTACTAGGGACCTGGCCTGCAACCCAGGCATGTGCCCTGACTGGGAATTGATATGAGCTGGTGACCCTTTGCTTCACAGGCTTGTGCTCAATCAACTGAGCTACACCCACCAGGGCTATATTATACATTTTTTAAAAACCACCCACCTTGCCTAGATGGGTCAGTGAGTTGGGTACTACCTGGAAAACCAAAAGGTAACTGCTTCAATTCCTGGTCAGGGCACATACCTGGGTTGTGGGTCAGATCCCAGGTTGGAGGTGTGTGAGAGGCAATGGGTCAATGTTTCTCTCCCTCTCCTCCCCTCTCTTTTAAAATAAATACATAAAATCTTTAAAAAACCCAAAACGCTTGTTTTCTTTGGAACTAATAATGCTGGCACTCCGTGTTCCTTTATTCTTTCAGGGTTTGCCAGTTGGGTTGAGATTTCCACGGTGTAAATTGAAGTAGGGAAATGAAATCAAGTATATCAATAAAAAGTAAAAAAAAAATGTTTGTTCACTGGAGTAGGTTTCTTGTAAGAATATTCTAGATCCCCCCAACATATGCATATATGCAAAAGACTAGAAAGGGAAGGAGCCCTGTCTACCCTTCCCATAAAGCTTTACATTTTTGTATTACAAAAAAACTGTCCCTGATTGCAAATAAGTTAAATAACTAGCAGCAGAGAGTTCTTCCTCTCCACTGAAAGAAGGCTGTGGGACTCCTATGCACAGAGCTTTCGTGGCAAGCCA